CCAATATAAATATTCGAATTAAAGAGGTTTTCGAATTAAAGAAGTTCGAATTATCCAAGTTCTACTGTACTTTGTTATACTATTAAGATAAATCTTTAATAAGTCTTTTAGAACTGGTTGCCATTCGCAATCTTTATTATAGAAAGGTTACTAATCATAATACACAGCAATTTTATCATCACATTTTCTGATCCCAAAATAAGCAAGTTGGTCTGATATTTGAATATTTTTGGAAGTTCCAATTCCTTTCATATACAGTTAAACCTGTCTATAGCTGTCACCCCCTCTTGGGACTCACCAAAATAGGATGCTATAGAGAGGGGGTGCTATAAACAGGTCACTTTTAATGTAAAATGTTTACATTTTAAGGCTTAAAATCGGGCACTATAGAGAGTAAAGCGCTATTTAGAGGGGACGCTATAGACAGGTTTAACTATATCTAACCTTCTATCACAAAATATGTAAATAAGGTCAATTTGAATAGACTTTGCATAGCTTATATTTTAAACCGCATTTTCATCTACAACACCTATCTGGCTTTTCTAATGTTCCACTTGAGTGAATGTTTTGATGAAAGTATTTCTACCTATTAAAATTAGAGTATGTTGTCCTCCATGTTCTGCTCGGGTGAATGTTTCCTGAAAAATTTTTTGTTTCTGCCCTTCAAAAATGATGTAGCAATATTATAATAATCATTTTCTGACTAAACAAAAAGTAAATTAGTTGAATTACTTTGTTAATCTGAATTTTCCATGAATGGACATGTGACAAAGACTTTCCTAACTTAACTCTATATACTGTTAAAATTCCAGCTAGATTGATTTAAATATTGAGGAAAAATATGTAAATAAATAGATAAATATACATATCTTGATTTTTATATATTTAGAGATACAAGTTTTACTGTATATTTAGTTTGTAGAAATCTGCAACTCTGTTGGTGTTGTTTCTTATCCCTTTGTGTAAAGAAACTCTATCTCTGTGTATGGCTGTATTGTAAAACTTGAGGAGATATGCAAAAATAGGCTATTTAAAAACGAGCTAAACTGAAGAATGCCAGTGATGTAGAAAATAGAAACAAAGGCCTCAAAAGTTAAAAACAAGGAAATAAACAGCAGCCATAACCTGCAACTCTATTTCTGTGTATGGCTACTGTCCTATTGTTTATTTCCTTGTTTTAAACTTTTGAGACGGCACCTGTTTCTATTTTCTACATCACTGGCATTCTTCAGTTTAGCTCATTTTTAAATAGCCTATTTTGCATATCTCCTCAAGTTTTACAATCCTATTTTAACTAGATAAATACAAATGTGATGTATCTCTCATTTTTAAAGATTTTTATATTTCTTTACATTTATTGTAGAAGAACCACCGTAAGGTTAGAAGGCTCATCTTGCTCTCATAAAAGTAACTTTTCTCCGTTGTTCTTGCACTTTTTTTTGCTGAAAAAGGTTTCAATTTTGCTGGCACATGATTGGCTGTCCAGTGATGATGTCATTTGAATCCTATGTTGACCAACAAAATGCAATACTATTTATAGTTCCTATTTTTCCATTTTCAAGTAAAACATTTTCTACTGTCTTTACTGCAATGATAAAATAAAAACAATAATTTTTTTAATGCGCACTAGATTTTGCATTCCCAATGTTGCGCTAATACTTTAAAATAACATATTGTTTTAATGGGAGAAGTGCTTTTTTTTGGTATACCTAATCCATGGTATTAATCCAAATTTGCATATTTGGATTATGCAAACTATTTGCAAATATGCAAACTGGATTATGTAATCTAACCGTGAATTTGCACAACAGCGGAGCTGATCAAACTGTACTTCCGCACACTACAACGGACCATCCATGACTGCGTACCCAAGTCCATCATGCTCCACATGGTAAACTACATCAACAACCACCTCCAGGAGGAGCTTACCCTGCGCATACTGAATCCTGCCAAGTTGGACCATCTCCTTGGGGAATCCCCGCAGGTGGCTGAAAAGAGAAGAGAGGCACAGAGTATGCTGTCCTTGTTACATCATACCTCTGAAAATATAGCCTTGATCAAAAATGTCAATTTGTAAATTTTATACATATATTTTTAATTAAAAAGCTATATATTGGATCAAAATATAATTTATTTTACCAATATTTCACTTGGCTGAATGCCAATATATGCCTTTTTAATTAAAGATCTATTGCTCTATTTTCATATATATATATGATCACAATATTGTGAATGTTTTTTTTCAATATTATTCAATAAATTGTTGATTTTTTACTCACTGTTTACTTTTTTTTTACTCTTTATATTTTATTATTATTTCTCTTACTTTATATTTAAAAATACATTTCTTTTGGCCAGGTGGAAGAGTTTTTTTTTTCAATATTATTCAATAAATGGTTGATTTTCACTCACCATTTACTTTTTTAAATTTATATTTAAAATAGATTTCTTTTTTTAGTCTTAGATTGGATTCCCAATTAAGTATGTAATTGGAAGTTCTTTTTCTATAACTCTTGGTCTTGTCAGATTGTAGCTTCTTTTGGAATAATTTAAATCAACAATGAGTTGAAATTTATTCCAACAGATAGTGTAAGTCAACAACTTTTAGTTACTTAATCACAAAAGATGCCTTTCTCTTAATTTAAAAAATGTTGGTGTAATCAAACTATACTTTTGATAAAAGCAGTTGTCTACTTCTACCCACCATGATTACCATGGCCTTTATGTGTAATA